TATCAATAGGATGTAGCCGCCCAGCTCTTTCGGAAGAACCTTTCGGCGGTATAAGATTTTCCCCGTCTCAACCTAAGTATTATTGTACATTATGTACAAATTTTAATATGGGTTATTGAAAATGGATTTTTTTTTTTATTTAGGGCTTTGAAACGGTTAATTATCCGGGACGCAGCGGCAGTGAACCTACAGCAAAAGTAAGCTGATTTTCTATATATGTACACGTACATATGTATGTACATTAGGGTAGTCCAAACTCAGTAAAGTCGGAATTGTAATGCTCTCACCCCCTATACCCCTATTTTTTTTAATTTGAAATCAGAGGGTTAGAGCATAAAAATTCCGACTTTACTTTTTCACATGCATTTTTGAACCACCGTAATGTACCTACATACATAACTTCATAATTAAGAATTTCCGGTTTTTATTACATTTTACATAGTATTGATTCAATTGTTTAATTGTTTTGAAGCGGTTGCAGTGTTGATGAGCAAAAGTAAGTGGGTTTTCTTTATACATATTTTTATGTACATACATAACTTCATATAAATAACAATTGTTTTTTTTTTACATTCGACAGTGTTGAGTATGATGAATTGATTGTAGGTTGACTGATTGAATGCACCGGTGAAGCTCCTCATATGGCCAATAAAGGAACTTGGCCCCCAAGTAGGCAAATCGACAAAATTAAAAACTACGAAAAAATATGGATTTGTATTGCAGAGAAGTTATGTTCCCAAGGGTATATATTTACCGCCCAGCAGGTTTAAACGAAGTATTATACCCTGGAAAGATCTTACAAAAATAATAAACTTCATAACTCCAAAACTGGACGAAACAGAGAAAGAATTCCTTTTCAAGAGTAAGTTATTTTTAGTAAATCCTTTTTAAATTCTAATACGAATTTAACCATCACATAATAGGGAGTTAGACGATTTTTTATTGGAAAGAAAGGTAATTAATCCAGAATTTCGATAAGTGAAGATAATACTGCTGGGGTAGAAGATATTCAATCAAAAGATTTCCACCACAACCAACGCTAGTTTCCTTGGTATACATACACCAGTGGCGAAGTAAATAAGGGGCCTTTGAATAAAAACTAAGCAATTGCTTTTTCTTAAAATTTCAGACCTTTTTCTCGATTTCTTGAAATAAATTTAAAAGAAATTTTAAGAAAAAGCAATAACTAAGTTTTTATTCATAAGGCCCATGAACACATATTTCTTGCAATATACATAGATATTCAATATTCATTGGACGTTCTTCTGTCTCATAAAAATTTTCAACTTTGTAATCAGAAATTTGAAGGAGGAAAACTTAACTTACGAGGCCTATGAAGCAAATTTTAAGCAAGCCTTCCACAAACGCAAAGCCTACTTTTATAGAAAAACTTATAAATTAAAAAAGTAGATATTTGTTATAATGTTGGTTTGATTGAATTTTTTACTGTTGATACCACAGGCCAGCGAAATTTTAATTTTACACGCCTATGCTCGGTTATACCAGTCAAATTTTAATTTATCAGCCTGTTAAAATTTAAAATGACACAATTTTGTTCAGAAATCGTGCACTAGATATTAAATAAAAGATAAAAAATAACAATTATTGGAGGAGGAAAAACAAAATTTAAGTTTCGCTGGCCTGTGTACTTAATCTGTTTTATTTAACAATTGGGCTGTGCGATTATTCGATTACTCGAGCATGTTAGTTAATCAATTATTCAGTTAATCAATTTCTCGAGTAATCAAGATTTTGATTACTCAAAACGATGATTAGTCGAGTTACTTGAAATATGATTACTCAAAAAAAATAATTTTGCTCGTTTGCTTTGGAAAATTTTTATTTTCTTTTTTACATTCTGTATATGAAAAAACATTTTCGTTTTAATTTTTGAAAACAGTAGCGCGTTTCTGTAAGAAATCGACAAAATTCTCGATTATAGTAACGTCATATCGATTCGATCCAAGTTTGTCGATTGGCGGAGAAAAAGTGTTTCCGTAAGCATTAATCGACAAAATGTGGAAATGATATGCCAATCGACAAGGAATGTGTGAAATCGAATTGAAAATTATTTGTCAAAACATATTGAAAAGTAAGCATGAAAACAAAAATGTGTATACAAAAAATTAATATTGATAAATATTTATTTTCAGCTATGAGTTTGTTGGTAGCTACACTCGCGATACAACAGGACCGCAGAAATATGCTGCGAATGCGACGGCGGTATTTGAGGGACTCCACAGATCCATTCAGCATTCCAGAGGCGCGCTTTATAGAGTTGTTTCGCTTCAGCAGGGCAGCAGTCAGGGAACTTCTTGTAGAAATGGAGCCTTTAATGGATACAGCAGTAAGGAATACGTTCATTCCAAACTCAATTAGACTGTGTGTATCACTCCACTATTATGCTACAGGATCGTATCTTAGTACACCAAAAATAAGTTTGACGTTGCTAAAAGTCGTGTTGATTTTTAGCAACTTTTTCACGCAGTTTCATCCATACAAAGTTTGTTCTACAGTTTTTTTTTTATGTATGCAAGAAAAAATTGCCGCGAAAAATCAGCGTGTTTTTTTAACAACTTCATACTTGCATTTCGTAATACTAAAATTTAATGGGTTATAGAACTGCATACTTAGAACTTTTATGAAAAATCTGATTAAAAAGTTTCAAACTTGTAGGCAAATTTATTGATTTTTCTTGAGATTTCCACAAAGTTTCGAGATTTTATTTTTATGTTCTTTGTTGGAGTATGAACTATATTTTGTAAAACTTAGCGTACTAATAATTAGTGCTGCATTGTGCACTGTGTGTTAGTGTGTGTGTAATAAAAAATAATAAATACTAATACCTATTATGCACTTCAAAGGTATAGAGCATATTTTAAAAAGTAAATTTGCAATTTCACAGTTTCATTGTGCTGAAATTATATAGAAAATGTAGGAAAAATAAAGAAATATTAATGCAAAACAATAGCCCTCATCTTTTGGTAAACGAGCTGCAAAAGAACGCTCCAACTCGGCTAACATTGCTATGGCCGCACTGGAATAGCCTGTCATTTAAAGAGAAGAGAAACGAAAACGGATTGGAATTATTGTGATTTCTGTCACAAAATATTTGTTACTCGGGCTTTGTTGTTTTTAATAAAAATGGAAAATTATGTTGAAAATTTGGTAAGTAATTATCAAAATAAGGTTACTTAATTAAATACTATTGTTTTAATATAGCTTGCGGCAAATTTAGTAGAAGGTCGGAGCGATTTGCGCCGCTTGAAAGACCAGCAAGACCTGAAGGAGGCAATGGACGCTTTATTCGAAAGTTCATGCTCCAGCTCGGAATCTGAAAGCGACCAGGAAGAGCACCCAAAATGCACGGATTTCGAAGCAACGCTTGACTCGATGAACGAAATTGATTTCGTGTCGCACATGCGCTTAAAACGTTCAACCGTGGATTTTTTAATATGTAAGTCAAAATTTACATATGTTCATATATGTATAGTGAAAACTGCATAATTTATTTAAGCAAAGAAAGTGTTAAAAATTGGTATTTGCCTGATAAACACTGCAGTGGTGCCGAAGTCGTATGGATAATTTGAATCCTAACTCCTTAGAAAAAACTCCGTAGCCAACCCTATTGTTTAACTTGAATCCATCCATGTAGAATGCCCTTCGGAATAGTTGATTTCTTGATCATAACTTCCCAGAGTGCGAAGTGAAGAAACGTGACCGAACCACTGAGGGCCGAAACGGCGGCCACGTGCTTTCCCAGCAGATTTACTGCAGGCAAATTGGTTAGCACTTCTACCGGTTTATTTGGTATGGTCCTTAAAGCACCCAAGATGCATCTAAACGCTCTTCTTTGGATCTTACTCAGAAGTTTTAGGTAACTTACCTTGTGAGTTGATGTCTACCATAAAAGAATGTCATGTAGTAATAGGCCTAAGTGCAGAAGTGTTAAGCCAATGTGTAATACGAGGGGTTTACCACCATTTGGTTTCGTCTGTTTGCTTGCATGTATGTAATGTTAGATTGGCCTTCTTACCTCTTAAGCAAATAATAGTGCTACAAATATATCTGTGTAAAAATGCTCCTATCTGCAGTGAACAAAAACATTTGCTTAAGCCGTTTTACCATTTACCAGAGGACTAATGTTTTTCATTCCATTTTCAGCAAAATATTCTTTGTCTGAGTATGTACCTAGTCAATATGGGGGTGGAAGAATGCGCGTAAGTTTCAAAAAGGCTGTATATATGTATATATGGTACGTCAGCAATACAGTTACGTTTAGGCAGTTGGCGAATTTATTTGCAGTAGCCCCATCAGCGGCGTGGTCAACCGTACGTCGATTAACTTCATTTTTGATTTCAATCAGCCACGAGTACATTAAATGGCCACAAGGTGCATGCATGCAAGAAGTAGTAAGGGGCTTCGAGGAAAAAAAGCATATTCCTGGTGTTATTGGGGCAATCGACTGCACGCACATAGCTATAAAAGGTCCAAGAGAGCAAAGATCAAACTATTTTAACCGCAAGAAAACATACAGCATTATCTTGCAAGCCGTGGTAGATTGCAATAAAAGATTTATAAATGCGAACCGGGATCACTTCATGATTACCGGGTACTAAGAAGGTCTCAAATCTATGAAGTTGCAGAAACTCGATGCGGAGAAATTTTTCCAAATTCAAATTTTATAATCGGAGATTCAGCATATCCTTCCAACAATTGGCTTGTATCGCCCTTCAAAGATTATGGTAATTTAACGGAAAGCCAGCGCAAATTTAATGAAATATTGTCATCCACGCGAATGGTTGTCGAAAACGCATTTGGGTTACTTAAGGGTCGTTTTCGAAGGCTACTTAAGTTTACTGAACAAACAGATTTAAAATCAGTCACAAATATAGTCGCCAGTACATGCGTTTTACACAATATTTGCATCACTATGGATGATTTGTGTGAAGACAATGAAGCGGATTTCGAACGATTTGAAGAGAATATGGAGTGCGTAAACAAACTCTGCTCACCATCGATGGCATACTTGGTTGCTATCCAAATTGTTATGCAGTAATATGGGTGTGGTGTAAAATTGTTGCGCCCATGTTACGAGACGCCGATCCCAAGAATGTGGAATTGGCTATGGATGTAAGTGGTGTATGATAATGAATAGTTACATATCCGTGTAATATTTTGGCTCTATCTTTGCAGTGTTTTCGTTCACGCGTACTAGTAAATATGCGTGGCATTGATCAATCAAATCAAGCAGAGCACTTTATGCCATGGGTTATCATACGCACGATGCTGTCAACGCAGCCGCGTCTATATTTGCAGATGTGCTTCCACATGGCGCTGCAGCAGCGAATGCTTAAGTAAGTGTAGAAAAAGTGGTTGGAAATAGAACCTATCAACGATAGCATTTCAATCTAGCCCGCAAATGGTCAGCATAAACGAATCTCACCTACTAACTTCAAATTCCACTGAAGCCTGGATTGTACTCAATTTCATTTCAGGCAAGATAAAGAGTAAGGAGCCGGATGCACTGGTGCATCTCTTCACGTCATTGAAATCGGTATTATTTCAACCTTAATAAATGTACTTAAGAAAATATT